CCTCCCCCCCCCCCCCCCCCCCCCCCCCCTGCCCCTGGACCATAACCCACCACAGAACATAAAAAGATATGACTACCCCCTGCTGCTGCACAAACTCAATACATTCCCCCTTTTTGTTATATTACATGTACATCTGCTGCTGACTGTTTTGTTTTTACCGTTATACCTGCTGCTGTTGGTTATTTGCACTACTGTCCATGTACATTTCATAAGCTATTATTCATCCCATCACCAACACCCCTGGTGATGCTGTACACCTGACAATCTTCTTCTACTGTCACTGTTTGCACATGGCTTTGAGTTTCATCATTGACTATTAGGTTGTACCATCTAGTTTATCCTTATTACTTGAATTCAGTTTTCATATTCTGTTTATTCTGTGTTTATTCTACTTTTATTCTATTTTAGTTTCTTAAATGGTATGGGCATTCAACATTAGGTGAGAGAGAAACAGTATGTCTGGTGATGCTGAACCATCTCCTATTATTGCTTGCACTACTGTCACTGGTTTTGAGTCACAGCTTATTGGCTGTACCGTTTAGATTTATCCTAACTACGTTAATCCAGTTCTTATTCTATTCTTTTCTATTCTGTTCTATTCTATTCTATTTTTATTCTACTTTATTCTATTTTAGTCCCTAAATGTTATGGCACCCAATTCTAGGTGAGAGAGAAATGATATTTCGATTATCTGTATGTCCTGCACATATGGTGAATTGACAATAAAATCCTTGAATAACTTAAATAAATAGTCTGTTGGATCCATGTTTACTGTGTTCAACCAGATGAGGGCAGTGTATCACAGCTCTGCCACACAGCCTGAGAGCTGCATGTTACCCTAGCACATTCTACTGTGTGTGTGTGTGTATACTGAGGAAAACCCAGCCTGAAGTGAACACTTGGAGCAGATCGAAAGCCTGCTCTGAAGCATCATCTTGAGTTATTGCTCACATCAGGAAGGACAGTGAGATGGTGGCTGCTAACCCTTCTATATCCGCTGGGTGTTAAAGACTGGATGTGGTTGCCAATGAATCATGAGCCATTATCCATCTTCTCTCTCTCACTCACTGCCTCTAAGTGTTTTTGTGATATGTGGTTTGTCTCACTTCTCCATGGCACAGATGTTGTGTGGTCTGTAGTTACTGTCTGCCAAATGACTACCAAATATCTGCAAAAGTAGGAGCACAAACAGATTTTGAATGAGTGAGTGCTTCCTTTGTTGAGCTTTGTCCGCTTTAAATTGCTGCCTGAGTAGCAGCACTTTTGTAAAAACCTTTTAAACCTACTATTGTTTTATGTACTGTAAGCAGATTCATGCAGCTACAGTGCCTAAAGAGACAAGTAATTCAGGGCATACTGAGCATCTCAACTCAAATCTATGAGATGCGGCCTTGATGAATAAATAATGGATCATCCTTTCAAGTGGATCTTTGAACAGTGTTGAAGTTTTTAACCCCATGAAACCTGGAGACAGCTACAGTCCCCCAGCTTATAAACCTCTAATTCTAGCCTTACTAACCCCCACCCCTCTGGCAAAATGCCCCCTGCTGGGTTTTCTTTCATTAGGGTGAAGCATCACTGAGGCACAGACACAAAGATCTCTCACCCACATGCACAGATATACATAAAATCATGCATGCATGTATATGGCTGTCAGATCCCTTAAGGGCCAGTTTTTGGATATGACCCTAGATGAATCCATTCACTTCTATCTTCATCAGCACAATTGAAGTGATACAGTATATGGGAATAAAATGGTTCTTTTTAAATTTGGCTACATCTATGAAAAAGCTATTGAACTGTGTTGCATAATGACATCAGTGACACTGACAAGTGGCAGCCATTCAGATGAGTGGGTGTATCATTTATCATTGTTACTTACAGCTTGAGCTTCATCCTGGCCTCCCAGTTCTCTACCCCAAATCCTATCACAGCCTCACAGTTCTGAGGAGAAAGGCACCAAATGAAACAGTTTGATATATGGCTTTTACCTCAGTGTCGTCACATCATTACAGAAATATTGCAATGAAAACACATTTATCAAAAATCATCAAATCAACTTTCTGCTGAGACCTGATAAAACCTTTATGTTTACTGTGGAGCAAAACATTTAGTTTAAACTAATTATTTTCCTTCAAAAACCACAAACATGACAAATATAAGAGCCCGTGCTTTTGAAACCTCTTGTAATGATTTAATCCTAGATGTTTCTGATCATATCAAAAATAAAGTTTTGATAATAAATGTTCACCTTCCTGTCCATCTGACAGAAGGATCTGGGGCCATCATGTCCTACCATCAGTAGTCAAGTGGCCACTATTAGGTGATCAGACTTCATTACTTTACTGCACTACAGAACCAGGTAACACAGCTGGAACCCTTTGCAACTGAATCTAAAATTGCAAAATGTCATCTTTTCATATTTTCTCCTCTGCCTCCTGATGTTTTGAGATATATTACAATTTTGGCAGCATTAAGTTTCATTAAGTTTTTGACTTTATTTTCATGATTTTAGACTTAGGGTTATTTTAAGGTGCAATTTAGGTTGCTTCTAGAGAGAAATTTCGTTGTATTATTATATTGGATGTTGTATTCATTATTTTGTAATCATATTTATATTTAATTCTGCTTTTGTGGCCACTATTGTGTTACCTGTCTGTTGCTTGTTTGTGTGAATGTTAATGCTGCCTATGGCCACAACACTCTTGAAAATGAGATTTTAAATCAGTTAGGATGCTCTGTTCAATTACACTAAATGTTAAAGAAAATGTAATATGTAATGTTTATTATCACCTAAATAAACATATAAATATATAATGTAAAATACATTATGAAATTTGTCAGTTGTGGGGTGGCCAGTAAATTTAGGATGGTGGCCATGGCCCCCCTGGCCACCCCTTGGGGGCGCCATTGCTCGTAATTAATTCATTATAATTTCGGCAAATTTAAGCAAAACTACCAAACATTCTCTGATTACAGCTTCTCAAATGTGAAGATTTGTTGCTTGTATTAGCTTTAGATCATTTTAAGATACAGTAGCCTAATTCTCCTTTGGTTTTGGATTGTGGGTCCGTTTAAACAAGACATTTGAGACCAGCTGGGCTTTAGGAAACATTATTTTCTGACATTTTATAGCCCAGTTGAATAACAAAATGCCCGACCAACTAATCACCTTATAAAAACAGACCCTGATTTGCTTCCATGCTGAGCCAAGTGAATAATTAGAACTCTTAATTATTTTCTTTGGGGGCCTCTAAATGTCGCCCCCTGTCATGACCATAATCACCCATAAATTCCAAGCAAATGAGGTAGATTTGAACAAGATTGAACACAACCTTTAACCCCCTCCACCTCGCCCCCCCACCCCTACCTCCTC